CCAGAATCAACCATGCTACAACACAATGTCGGGGCATAGTCACGACAGCTGGGTGTTTAAATTCCATGTTTGACTAGGAAATTGGGGTTTTAGGAGTCCTAAACTAAATAGAATTAAGGAAAACAAAGCCCTAACCCTTGTGGGATATAAATAGAAGTCTTTTAGCATTATTTTGGGGGATCTTTGTAGAGAACAAAAATAATGTAGAGATTAAGAGCGATTGAAAGAGGCTTGGATAGAAGAATTTGGGGGAAGATCATTATCAACTCCATTGTTCCCAAGATTTCCTAAGTTTTTCTTATCTGTTGTTGTTATTTTTTATTCATTACTATGATTATGTTTTTATTCTTCTCCATGAGTAACTAATTCTTTTGTGATTGAGGGTGATTTCAAAGCCCTAGACATGTCTTGAAATTAATAAAATATGCATCTATTTATCTTTTGATCCCTCTTGGTTATGTGATTATTTCTCTGTGAATAAGGTTTAGATAGATTGTTTTAATTGTTTAAGTGCACAATTAAATTGTTAGGATTAATCTATTAATGCCAATTTAGGTTGTTTAGTATGGAATCGTTTTATTAACCTAAATAACTAGTGGTAAAGTGTATGCCTGCATACATGGGGGGTAATCACTCAAGATAACTAAATCGACCATATGAGTTTAGCCTTGATTCAGTAGGTCTCTCGCAACTTAATGCTTTTATTACTTTGAATCTAGAGATCGTATCCTAGGTTACCTAATAAATAGGGAATTGGGTTATGACCGTGTCTAATCCAATGAATCAGTAAGGAGAGATAGAACTTATCAACGTTTGGTATTTTCTGAGCTGATGTGATTAAGAGGGTAGAAAGTTAAAGAGTGCTTTTATTATATGTAATTCATCTCTAGTGGTGGCAAATAAACCTTCAATCTCCCTTCTCTTATTCATCTATTTCATGATTGTTTACTTGTTTTACTTTGTTTAATTTTAGTTTGCTAGTTTTTGTTGAGTTTTTATAATTTGTGACAAACCCCATTAGAAGTAGATAATTAATTAAGTTCACAGATCCTCTACGGGATAGAACTTTACTTGCCCTTTGCTACTACGCAACTTTGCATTAGAATTTAGTAAGGTAAAATTAGGTGTTGCTTTTGCATGCATCATGAATCTAATATGATTTGTGTTTCTCATAATGATTGGTGGATTGATTCTGGTTCTACAATCCATGTTTCTAATACCATACAGGGTTTTCTGGATATCAAAGGAAATCAATGGGAAGTGAATGCAGCATCTGTTCAGAAAACAAGATGCCTTCACGTATTGAAGCTATTGTAACATTTAGACTTGTTTTAAGTAATAGTTTTATTTTGGATTTGAAATGAACCTTTTATATTCCTAGTATTTCTAGGAATTTAATTTCAGTTTCTCAACTTATACCTTATGGATACTCTTTCAACTTTTATGGTAGTTCTTTTAATTTAATTAAGAACTCATCTATTGTTGGAAATGGTATTGTGGTTGATGGTTTGTTTAAATTTCATTTAAGTGATATTGTTCCTCATAGTTTAATGGCTTCACATGCTAGTACTAGTATTAAACGTACTGTTATGAATGAAAACTCTTCTTTTTTGTGGCATAGGAGATTAGGACAGATCTTCATTGGTAGGATTAAAAGGTTGGTAAATGTTGGAGTTCTTGGAATTCTTGACTTTATTGACTTTGATCATTGTATAGATTGCATTAAGGGAAAGCAGACTAACAAATCCAAGAAAGGTGCCAGGAAGAGTTCTAAACTTTTAGAAATCATACAAACAGATAATTATTGCCATGACATGAGCTCTAGCAGTCAGAAATATTTCATCGCCTTTATTAATGATCACTCACGATACATGTATCTCTACTTGCTTCATCACAAGGATGAAGCATTGGATGCTTTCAAAGTATATAAAGCAGAAGTAGAGAAACAATATGGAAAACAAATTAAGATTGTGAGATCTGATAGAGGTGGTGAATATTATGGTAGATACACTAGTACAAGACAAGCACTTGGTCCATTAGCTAAATTTCTTCAAGAGTAAGATGTGGCTCAATACACCTTGCCTGGCACACCATCTCAAAATGGTGTAGCATAATGGAGAAATAGAACATTAATGGATATGGTATGGAGTATGCTAAGTAACTCCCAAACTTCCTCATTCTTTATGGATCAAAGGTCTTAAAACTGAAGCGTATATATTAAATCGAGTTCCAACTAAGGCAGTTCCCAAAACGCCATTCAAGTTGTGGAAAGGTTAGAAACCGAGTTTAAGTCATTTATGCATTTGGGGTTGTCCAGTTGAAGTTAAAGTTTATAATCCACAAGAACGGAAGTTAGATCCTAGGACTATTAGTGCATATTTTATTGGAAATGCTGAAAAATCCAAGGGATATAGATTTTATTGTCCTAACCATTCCACTAGAATTGTTGAATCCAGAAATGCCAAATTTCTTGAGAATGATGTGGTCAGTGGGAGTGATCAACTCGGAGACTTAGTCTTTGAGAAAAATGATGTTTTAGATGATGCTCCTACATCAAGTAAAAGATTGATTGTTTGTAACGTCCACATTGAGGTACGTAGCTTATTCTTGCTTGTTTGCCCTTAGTTATGCTTGTTTGCCCTTAGTTTTTGCTTGGTTGCCCTTTGTGTTGCTTGCTTTAAGGTGAAAGATTGAAGAATTTTGAAAAGTACAAACTTCGTCGCGACCAAGAAAGTTGGTTGCCGCAGCCAAGAACTCTTTGCCCAAATTTGAGTTTAAGATTTTGCAGGCTTCGCTGTGGCGATGTAGGTTCTGGAATTTTTCACCGAGGCGAAGAGCTGACTGAAATTCTTGAGAAAATTCTAGAGAAATTTCCTTAGGGACAAAGTGACTATTTTACCCCTAATTAGTTGTAAATGGGGGGAGTGAAAAGTAAGGAAATTCTATGGAGAATGCCTTGGAGATGGGGGTGTATTTGTAATGAATTAAAGGGCAAAGATGGAATTTTCTATAAAGTGTAAGGGCAAAATGGGAAAGAATGTATATTATATGAGATATTAAGAGTTCAAGCACACAAACCCTCCCATTCTCTACACCCCACACGCCACTTCCACTCTTCAATTCTCTCATCTCTTCATCAAATTTCCAAGGAATATTAGAGGGCTTTTGGTTGGATTTTGGTAGAGACTTGATTCTAAGCATCCAAAGGTAAGAATTCTTGCAATAGATATGAGTTTAATTTTCAAAAGTGTTGAATTCTTTAGTGTTTATGCTTAGGGTTTTAGATAAAGAGCAAGTCTACCAAAGAAAGAGAGATTCTAGTGGAATTACTCAAGTACAAGGTAAGTAAATCCAACCCAAGTTATGATTTGAGAAATCAAGTGTGTAGAGATTTTACATATGTATATGCTTATGATTTTGAGAATTGCTAATGAATTGTTGATGAGTTTGATGACTATTGATGAGTAGAATTTAGCCATGAGAAGTGGTTTTGGTTGTATGATGATTAATTAAAGTTTGGTTGAAGTTAGAAAGAGTTGAGTAGAATTTTTGGGAGTGTATTGTTCTGGACAGGTTTAGTAATTGCTTGAGTTTTACTCCAAATATTGGTGGCTTGAGAAAGAAATGGAATTGTAGCCAAATTAGAGTTTGATTGTGCATGCAATATATTTGATGAAATGTCCAAGAGAAGTGTATGCATGAGTTTATTTATTTATGATTTTGATATGAGTTTGTAGATGATAGAGAAAAACTTATTTTTATGCTACATGGCATCCTTGCATTAAACATTTGCATTTAGAAAGAATAATAAGCATGAACCATCTACATACATGCATGTACATATGTATGAGAACTTAAAGAATAAAGAGAAAGAAAGAAAAGATATTAAATAATGCTCTAAAATAAGAAAAGAACAGGTTGTTGCGATGGGGAACCCATGAGTGACAAGAAGAAATTCCTCGCATGCACGCCGCCTTCAATGAGCTACCTAAGAATAGGAAGAAGAATTGGTGTAACCCGTAAGAGTGCATGTGGATGAGAGTTGTACCCAAGAAAGAAGAAAACACTCACACGACTAGGGTTCCGAATCCATGCTTCAACCGAGTCCGATCGGCAAAAGAATAAGAAAGAATAAGAATAAGAATAAGAAAGCATAAGAGAAGAAAAGAAAACAGAGAAATAGAGAAAAGAAAGAAATACATAATAAGAATAGAAAACAGAAAAGAAAGTGTGCACTTCTTGCATTTGTGCATGTGCATCACACTTATGCATGGCATTATGCCTACTACCATGAGTAGTGAGAAATTAGAAAGAAAGAAGAAACGGTGAGAAATTAGAAAGAAATAAAGAATAGAGAGGTTAGTATAGAGAAAGAATAGAGAAATAAAGAGAAAGAACAGAGAAGAGTAATGTAAGGAACGAAATTAGAATGTGAGCAACGGAGAGAGAAGGCTAGTATAGCTGGTTTACTTACTGAGCAATTAATGCTCACTCTGTTGATTTCTTTGTTTTGCAGGGAATAGGTGAGAAGCAGTCGGATGGGCGTCGAGAAGCCGAGGAAAATGGCACCACTGTCTATTATTTTTGAGCTTATGTACATGAGACTTTTATTAATTTAAAGGATTTTATATATAAAGTAAAGAAAATTTTCGGGCCCATTATCTTTTCTTATATGTTTATGTGTTTTTAATATCTTATATTTCCTAAGTATATAAGTTAGAAAGAGTCATTACATTGTTCATCCAAACAGTGTGAACAATGAGGAACCAATCATTCAAAGTCCACGTTCTAATGAGATTGTTTTAGAAGATCATTATGAACAACCTCCACTACAGGAGGAACAACCAGTTGTGCAATAGTCTCAATAAGAGACTATTGATACAACATTAAGGAGTGTACTAGAACAAAGAAATCAGTAATTCTTACTGATTATGTAGTGTATCTACAAGAGTCTGATTATGACATAGGTTGAACATGATCCAAACACGTTTTGACAAGCTATGGACAATAGTAAATTTGAGTTGTGGTATAATGTCATGATTGACGAAATCAATTCTATGGCAAATAATACATTTTGGGACCTTGTTGAGTTGCCTACTGGAAAGAAACCTATTAGTTGTAAATGGGTATTTAAAACCAAGAGTGATTCTTTAGGCATCATTGAGAGATACAAGGCTAGGCCTGTTGCCAAGGGGTTCACGCAAAGGGAAGTGATAGATTATAAAGAAACGTTTTATCCAATTTCTCAAAAGGATTCCTTTCGCATCATCATGACATTAGTTGCCCATTTCGATTTAGATTTACATCAAATGGATATGAAAACAGCTTTCCACAATGGATATTTGGAGGAAGAGGTTTATATGAAACAACTTGATGGGTTCGTTTCAAGTGATGGTGAGCATTGGGTTTGCAAGCTTAAAAAGTTCATTTATGGACTTAAACAAGTCTCCCATCAGTGGTATTTAAGATTTCACACTGTTATCTCTTCATTTGGTTTTGTAAAAAATGTTATAAATCAGTGTATATACCACAAGGTCAATGGGAGTAAAATCATCTTTCTTGTGTTATATGTAGATGATATTCTACTTGCAACCAATGATTTGGGTTTGCTGCATGAGGTGAAACAATTTCTCTCTCAACATTTATAATGAAGGATATGGGTGAGGCGTCTTATGTCATCGGCATTAAGATTCATAGGGATAGGTCTCAACATGTTTTGGGACTATCTCAGGAAGCCTATATTAATAAAATTCTTTAGAGATTTAATATGAAGGATTGTTCACCCAATGTTACACCCATTGTTAAGGGTGACAGGTTCAATCTGAACCAATGTCCCACAATTGAGATTGAAATGGAACAAATAAAGAATATCCCTTATGCTTCAACTATTGAAAGCCTAATGTATGCTCAAGTCTGTACTGGACCTGACATTGCCTTTGTAGTTGGCATGTTAGGAAGATATCAAACTAATCCATGTTTAGATCATTGGAGAGCTACAAAGAAAGTCATGAGGTATCTTCAAGGAACTAAAAGTTTTATGCTTACATATAGACAGTATGATATTTTGGAGGTCGTCGAATATTCAAACTCAGACTTCGCTAGCTGTGTTGATTCTCGGAAATCAACATTCAGATATGTTTTTATGCTAGCCAGAGGTGCTATATCTTGAAGAAGTGTCAAACAATCTTTGGTTGCCACTTCTACCATGGAAACTGGGTTTGTTTCTTGTTTTAAGGCTACTCCACGTGGTATTTGGTTAAGAAGTTTCATTTCTGGGCTTGAAGTTGTTGAGTCTATCTCTAGGCCAATAAGGTTGTATTGTGACAATTCAACTGTTGTGTTCTTTGCTAAGAACAATAAGAGTGGAAGTCGAAGGAAACACATCAACGTGAAGTACTTAGCCATAAGGGAGTACATTAAAGCCAAAGAAGTGCTCATTGAACACATACACACTGAGTAGATGATTGCTAATCCTCTGACAAAAGGCATGCCACTAAAGACATTCAAGGATCATGTAGTTCAAATAGGACTATGTTCCGCTTTGTTACTATGAGAGGTAATACTTTCATTAACTGAAACTTTGTAATTTAGTTTGTTTTCTCTTTTAAGTTGTATAGGTTGGAGAAAAACAAACATTCTGGAGAACTTGGAACACACATTTGAGGTTTGTTCATAAAGTAATATTCCACATTTAAGCGTTTACCTAAAAAGAGAAAAATTGCATAGTAATACATGGAAGGTAATATTTGCTTAAAAGAGACTTACTGCTATGATTCATGCAATTCTATTTTTCTAATTAAACATAAACAATATAAAACTACTATATTGTGGATTGTGTAATAAAAGTTTAGACCAAGTGAGAGAATATTAGAATTTTAATTAATTAAAATTAAAATTCATTAATTACTATTTGGTCCTTCACTTTTATATAATATTTAACTGTTGTGCAACAGTTGAGTAGTTATCCCCAGCAGTTGTATTTGATGGAAAGACTTCTACGTACTTTAAAAAGAGAACAGTTACAGGTCCCCAATAAACGTAATTAATTCTGATATTCCCAAAACCATCATTTTGAGAATTGCACTGCATTGGAAGAATCTGTAATCTTTGAAGAAGACAACAACGGTAAATTGCTATGGTTGGAGGTTAGTAATATTGATATATTTCCGTTGTATATACATATATACTGACTGCCATGTCCAATCATGACTCATTATGCATATTTATAGTTGTTCATTTTAATTATTTGGAAACTGGGTAAATTTTGCTATAGAAGATGACTGAGTGCTGATGTTTTGTTACAAAGAAATTATAATCATCGTCAATACGTTACTAAACATGGTCAATTTCATTTTTTCACTCAATTCTACTCAGGCTTTTCTCAGATGCTTTCATGGCTTTATTCCACTATAAAAACTGAAGTAATTTCTCTCTAGAAATCATCACTCTCACTCAATTCTCTTCCCAAATGGGTCTCGTTTCAACTCTTTTCCTCACAGTTTTTCTCTCAGTAAACTTGATCATTTCCTGCAACACAACAGCCCAGAAAAGCCCAAGTTTCATAATCAGAGTCCAAAATGGCATGAAGCCATCTGAATTTTCTAATGTAGAAGATTGGTACAACTCCATCCTGGAAAGTCTTAACTTCCAAATCTTTGTTCTCCGAAAACAACAAAAAAATTACCCATATCTATAAAACTGTCTTCCATGGCTTCTCCGTAAGACTTGCCTCACAAGAAGTCCAGGAACTCAAGAAACGCCTGGAAATTCTTAGAGTTATCCAGGACCGAAAGCGCCATATTTAAATAACTCGGTCGCCAGGATTCCTTGGACTTACCACAGCCACAAAAGCCAGAATTAATGATCTTCGTCAAAAATCAAAATCGGAGTGCTTGATACTAGCATCTGGCCGGAAGGAAAAAGTTTCCAGGACCATGGTCTTGAATTCCTTCTAAGGCTGCAAACGATCGATTACTGTTCGATAATGTTCACGAACAGTTCAATATTCGTTCGATAATATGTTCAATCGAGTTCAAATAGGGGTTGTTCGTTCGATTATGTTCGCAAACACTATACGTTCAACTGATCCATCCGTTCGAAAAACATGTTATGCATTATTATAATTAAAAAAAAAAAATTTCATTTTTATATTATGTTTGATTTAGTTTGGATGAATTTTTTTTAATGGTAATCAATAATAAAATATTATGATACTTTTGTTTTTCTTATATATATAATATATTTGGATTTTTTTTTTCAAACGTCATTAATAATTAAATATATAAGTATATGGCATTTTAATTAAAAAGTAATAAATTATTATGATACATAGCATGACAAATTTAATAACATAATAGATTATATAATCAAGTGATATATAATATAGTAAATCCAATAACATAATAGCTTCATATTTTCTAAATGTAATCAATAATTAAATATTATAAGATAGCATTTCAATTAATAAATAATAAATATAGTATGATAAATTAATAAACATAACATATTGTATAATCAAGTAATGTATAGCATAACAAATTTAATAATATAATAGTTTAATTAAACCTAAATTACTCACACATTTGTATTAATCATATATTACAATAAACTTTCATACCACTATGAATTTATAGGTGTTGATACAAAATATATATGTAAACAGTAATAATATATATATATATATAACAAATTAATCAGTATTGATCATATATTACAATAGACTTTCATTCCACTATAAATTTATAACAAATTAATCAGTATTGATCATGTATTACAATAGACTTTCATTCTACTATAAATTTATGGGTGTTGATACAAAATATATATGTAAACATTTAAAATATTTATGATAATTTATGTAATGATAATAAATATATGATAATCTATAATTTTAGTAATTTCATAACATATTAAACATATTTAATTTATGATTAATATATGTATGATAATAATTTTGTACATACTATATAATGGCATGTTCACTCCTTGAATCCTTTTGGTTGTGTTGTAATGTCTATACAAAATGCAAATTCCTTTTGTTTGTGTCATGTTTGATATGGAACTAAATTTGTTTTGAACGATTTATTGTTCTGTTTAATTTATTTTGAAGTTTTATTATTTATGATGGTTATTTATTTTAATTTACTGAGTTTTTATCGATTTATTTAAAATATAAATATATATAAAGAGTTGGTTTATTTTCAAATGTTGAATTAAATGGGTATGAATTATAAATTGCTGCATATTTGTTTTTTAGGGCATGAATTGGAAAGTTGGTGCATATTTTTTATTCGAACGAGTTATTCGAACAGGTATTTACAAGTTATCGAACGAGTTATTCGAAAAGGTATTTACAAATTATCGAACGAGTTATTCCAACAGGTATTTATGAGTTAGTCGAACGAGTTAGTTGAACAAGTTAGTCGAACGAACACGAACGAACACGAGCGAGCTTTTTGTTAATCGAACGAACACGAACACACATATTGTGTTCGTTCGAACACGAACAATCGAACATGCTTATCGAACGATTTTCGAACGAGCCTGTTCGTTCATGTTCAGTTAGATTGCAGGCCTAATTCCTTCTCGCTAGAAAGGAGAATGCATTAGAGGAGAGGACTTCCTAAAGTCTCTATGCAACAAAAAATTAATCAGTGCTTGATACTTCCGTTCCGAAGAATTAAGCAACATATTTGTAGATGCAAAAAATCTACCGTCATGAAAATAGGGTCTGAACCTGTAAGGTTAAAGCCACTGATAATCTGCTAGACTTGCACACATGGAAGGCCAAGCGTGAAGATTACGAAAAACATTGAGGTGGTGTTTGCCGTAGGCACTCCGACGCTCAAGTCAGCAAAACTGAAAGAGATTATTTGATTATAATTAAAGAGAAGAAGGGTTACCAGGAGTCTTGTCGGAGGCTAGGACTATGGCAGAAGCGTCGGGTTCTTGGGAGAAAGAACTTCAGGAGCAAATAGATGGTTTTGAGTAGTGTAGATTGACTATGGGAGATTCCTCCCTTAATGAGAGGGCAGACCTCTGTTTTTATAGTGAACCCAAGGGGTTGGAATCCTAGTAGGACATTAAGTCCTTTTTTGGGAAATAATCCCTATCAGGAAAGAGATATGATTTCTTGACTTTATCATATTAAGTTTGCTAGTTTGAGTAAGATTTGAAATGTTAGTAGGACACTAAGTCTTATTTTGGGAGATAATCTCCATCAGGAAAGAAATATGATTTCTTGACTTTATTAGATTAAGTTTAATAGTTTAAGTAAGATTTGGAATCTTAGTAGAAAAGGAAATAGAATGAGATTCTGATTTCCTATTTACGAACTATTGCAGACTAATGGGCTGAAACTCAGTTTAGCTTAACTTATAAGATAGCCCAACTCATAGAGTGGGTAGTTCACAAGGCGATTTTAAGTGTAGGCCCAATTAGAATTGGGTTGTGACATGTTTATTTCATTATTGGACCTCGTCTAACTCAAGACGATTTTTTGCCCTAACAATATCAGCAAGAGACCATCATGGACATGGCATTCACACTTCATCAACCATTGCGGGGCACACTGTTAATAATGCTTCTTTTCTTGGTTTTGCAAACGGTGAAGCATCTGGGATGGCAGAAAAAGCTAGACTTGTTGTATACAAAGTTTGTTGGAATGGAGGACATTGTATGGAATCTGACATTTTAGCCGGCTTGGACAATGCTGTTGAAGATGGAGTTGATGTTATCTCTATTTCGTTAGGTTCTGGTCGGTCAGAACCATATTTTCTGGATCCAATCGCAATTGGATCGTTTGGTGCAATGGAAAAGGGAGTTTTTGTTTCAGCTACTGCAGGAAATTCAGGTTTTCAAGCTGAAACTGTGGATAATGTAGCTCCATGGATGATAACTGTTGGTGCTAGTACGATTGACAGAAAGCTCCCTGCCGATGTGGTTCTTGAAGATGGAACAACTATCACACTCTTTATAATGGAAAACAATTGCCAAACAAGACGTACTTTCCATTGATCTATGCTGGCAGTGCTTGCATGTATGGGTCATTAGATCCAAAATTGATTCATGGTAAGATTGTGGTGTGTGATCGTGGTGACATTGGATGTGTTGACAAGGGAAATGCTGTGAAAAAGGCTGGCGGGATTGGAGTGATTGTTGCTAATACAGAATCATCAGGTGAAGGTTTAATAGCTGATGCACACTTGTTTCCTGGTTTGGCCATTACTTTATNTCCCGTCAAAGTATGTCATTTCTTGTCCTTTAAGTTCTCAATTTTCATCGTCAGTATGTATAACTTATCCCATTGTCATCGTCTTTTTTTCTCAAAAACTTTGTGTTAATGGAAAAAATCCAAAAAATAATAAGTAAACATAATATACATATATGTACTGAGTGCCATGTCCATCATGACTCATTATGTATATTTATAGTTGTTCATTTTAATTATTTGAAAACTGGGTTAAATTTTGCTATAGAAGATGATTGAGTGCTGATGTTTTGTTAGAAATAAATTATAATCATCGTCAATACGTTACTACACTTGGTCAATTTCATTTTTTCACTCAATTCTACTCAGCTTTTTCTCAGATGCTTTCATGGCTTTATTCCACTATAAAAACTAGAGTAATTTCACTCCAGAAATCACAACTCTCACTCAATTCGCTTCCCAAATGGGTCTCGTTTCAACTCTTTTCCTCACAATCTTTCTCTCATTAAACTTGTTCATTTCCTGCAACACAACAGCCCAGAAAAGCCAAAGTTTCATAATCAGAGTTCACAATGGCATGAAGCCATCCGACTTTTCTGAAGTGGAAGACTGGTACAAGTCCATCCTGGACAGTCTAACTGCCAAATCTTTGTTCTTCGAAAACAACAAAAAAATCACCCATGTCTATAAAACTGTCTTCCATGGCTTCTCCGCAAGACTTGCCTCACAACAAGTCCAGGAACTCAAGAAACGCCCGGAAATTGTTGGAGTTATCCAGGACCGAAAGCGCCATATTCAAATAACTCGGTCACCGGGATTCCTTGGACTCACCACAGCCACAAAAACCAGAATTAATGATCTTCCTCAAAAATCAAACTACGGCTCCAATGCTATAATCGGAGTGCTTGATACTGGCCTCTGGCCGGAAGGAAAAAGTTTCCAGGACCATGGTCTTGATCCGATTCCTTCTCGCTGGAAAGGAGAATGCGTTGGAGGAGAAGACTTCCCGAAGTCTCTATGCAACAAAAAATTAATCGGTGCTCGATACTTCCGTTCCGAAGAATTAAGCAACATATCAGCAAGAGACCATCATGGACATGGCACTCACACTTCATCAACCATTGCGGGGCACACTGTTAATAATGCTTCTTTTCTTGGTTTTGCAAACGGTGAAGCATCTGGGATGGCAGAAAAAGCTAGACTTGCTGTATACAAAGTTTGTTGGAATGGAGGACAGTGTATGGAATCTGACATTTTAGCTGGCTTGGACAAGGCTGTTGAAGATGGAGTTGATGTTATCTCTATTTCATTAGGTTCTGGTCGGTCAGAACCATATTTTCTGGATCCAATCGCAATTGGATCGTTTGGTGCAATGGAAAAAGGAGTTTTTGTTTCAGCTGCTGCAGGAAATTCAGGTTTCCGAGCTGAAACTGTGGATAATGTAGCTCCGTGGATGATAACTGTTGGTGCTAGTACGATTGACAGAAAGTTCCCTGCCGATGTGGTTCTTGAAGATGGAACAACTATCACAGGGTCTTCTCTTTATAATGGAAAACAATTGCCAAACAAGACGTACTTTCCATTGATCTATGCTGGCAGTACTTGCATGTATGGGTCCTTAGGTCAAAAATTGATTCATGGTAAGATTGTGGTGTGTGATCGTGGTGACATAGGATGTGTTGACCAGGGAATTGCTGTGAAAAAAGCTGGCGGGGTTGGAATGATTGTTGCTAATACAGAATCATCAGGTGAAGGTTTAATAGCTGATGCACACTTGTTTCCTGGTTTGGCCATTACTTTATCAGCTCGTGAAAAGGTTCTCAATTACATAAACTCTACCAAGAATCCCCGAGCCACCATGGTGTTTCACAAAACTCAATTGGGGGCAAAACCAGCTCCAGTTGTTGCAGTATTTTCATCTCGCGGGCCAAATCCGCAATCAATTTACATTGTAAAACCTGACGTAATTGCACCAGGAGTTGACATTCTAGCTGCCTGGACGAATGATTCTTCACCAAGTGGTTGTCTTGAAGATACAAGACGCGCTGAATTCAATATAATCTCTGGCACATCGATGTCGTGCCCGCATGTTTCAGGCCTGGCAGCTCTTTTGAAAGCAGCCCATCTCGATTGGTCTCCAGCAATGATCAAATCAGCTTTGATGACTACAGCTTACACTCAGGATGAAGATGGTAATCCTCTGCTAGACGAGAAAGATCTTAACCAGACAAATATTTGGGCGATGGGGGCTGGACATGTGGATCCTCAGAAAGCTTTAGACCCTGGTTTGGTTTATGATTTAACAGCTGAAGATTACATAGATTTTCTCTGTGCATCAAGTTATAGCCTGGATCATATCCAGATGATTACCAGGAGGTCAGTGAATTGTAGTTTAAGCAAGATAGAAAACCCATGGGACCTGAATTACCCAATTATTTCAATTGCTTTTGATGATTCAAAATCATCCAATTCAGAGGGTTTGGTGACAAGAACTGTGACTCATGTAAGTGAAACTGCTTCAACCTACAAAGTGACCATCATCAATCCTGAAGGTGTCACTGTGACAGTTGATCCTGAAGAGTTGGAATTCGAAGAGAAAGGTGAGAAACAAAGTTATAAGGTTAAGATTTCAATTAAGGAAATGGTTGTGACTGATGATAAAGTGACTAGCAAGGTAGGGAAATTAGTTTGGACTGACGGGAAACATAATGTTACTTCTCCAATTGTTGTTACATGGACTGAATTAGCCTAAGTTTTGCATGTTTTTATCATGGTATTATAATAATAAATTAATAAGAATAACACTCTCTAGTGTGATCTATAACATCTGATAATTTCGTTTGTTTTCTCCAAGCTCGACCTAATATATAACATAAATAATAAATTTGTTTGCGATTTCTTCGAACAATGCTTGTAACAGAAGAGATTATAAGCATAAAGCTTTTGTGAAAAATTCGTTAATTGTTTGGTTAGGAAAATATAAAAGAGTTTTCTAGTATTAATTTACCAAACAATTGAAAATCACTTTTTATCGGAGTACTTTTTTAATGAAAAGCACTTAAATAATTTTTAAACAAATGATTTTATAAAATTATCTTAGAATGTACGCTTATACAAAAGAGGAATTTTCTCAAAAATAAAAATAAAAAACATTTTTTTATTAATTTATATAAAAATGCTCAAAGAGTGAGTTTAGTTTAGGGAATGTTGTATTATAGAAAGATAGATTACCGCGTTTGGTTGGGGGTTATATAGGATTTTTAAAGTTATGTCATCTTATATTACTTGATTATCACGTTTGGTTGTCAAATAATATAAGATTTTAATAATCTTTCAATACCAATAATAGTTACTGTTGGTAATATTTAAAGTAATCTGATAACCTCAATTTTCTTAGATATGGTAAGATTACTTGGTTATTTTATTTTTGTTACAATTTTATCTCTTATTAATAAATCTTTTGAACAATAATGCCCTTGTTTTAAAATCAATTTACATGAATCTGCCTTTTACAATTTTACCCTAATTAGTTAACTTTTTTGATAAAATTATCCTTAAATTCAAAACAAATTGTAGTCCACCCGAGCCACCACCCCTAGCCACTTGCGGCTGTCGTCTACTAGCAACCAATGTCGGCAGCCAACAGTCGCCACTGTAACAACACACGGAAGGCCAGAAATGGTTGTTGTGGGCCAATATAGCCATTTCCAGCCAGAGATCTAAACGAAAATGGCCAGATCGTAACAGATTTGGCCGAAAAAAGGTCAGATCGATGAATTTGGCCGAAAATGACCTTATTAGATCTGGCCGGAGATCTATCCATTTTTGGCCAGATCTTTGGTCGAAAATGACCATATTGGCGCACGGAGGCCATTTCCGGCCTTCCGTGCACCATTAGGTTGCCAACTGCCAATGGCCGGCGGTGGTTGCCGACAACCGATAGTGGCTGGGTTGGTGGGGGTGCATTGTTGATTTTTCAAACTTTTATTATGAGGTTGTTTTTGTTAAGTTTTTAAATGTAGGGGGTTATATTAATAATCTAAAAATAATATTTAATTAAAGGACAATTCAGTAATTTAAATAACATGCCCATCAATTTATTCCTCTCAACCAAACATATTAATATAACATACCTACCAATTTATTTCAATCAACCAAACACATTTCCTTAAACATTCTCAATAATGTTCAATGTAATTTTTTTTTCCATTAATATAACATTCCCAGTAATACAACATTTTCTGAACTAAATGCACCATGAAGGTTATTGTAAATGTTTAAGGAAATATGTTTGGTTAGGGTATAATAAATTGATGGGTATGTTATATTGATATATTTTATTGAGAATAATAAATTAGTGGGTATGGTATTTAGATTACTAAATTATTTTCCTCTTTAAATATTAATATATTATTATTTTTTAAATCTTTTTCTTTTTTTATCCCTACATTTGAGATTCTGCATTTCTGCTAAGTGCTAACTGCGAAAACACCCCATATTATAAAGTTAAAATATGTCCTACTCTCTTTCGCTCAGTCCAAACTGGATCCAATCCAAACAACAAGCCCATGGCCATACCCAACCCGAAAATAAGGTCCAGTGACCAATCCCCAGTTCTTGTATACAATCAATCTCCTCTTCAGTCTTCACGGTTACTCGTCAACTACGCGAGAAGAAGAAGAACCAGCCACAGAAGCTGCACCAATGGGGGTTCTGTTAATTCCGAGATTGACCCTTACCCTAACAATCATATCCCTTTTCATAGTTCTCTCCAGATCTTCTTCCCAAGAGATCCTTATCAACAATGCTGAGCGTAGAGTAAGCTCGATTATTCAATTTCGCCTTTTTAATCTCCTATTTTTACCTGATTTTTTGGGATGTTGATTAGGGTTGTTTTTTTTTTGTTTTCTACGTGGGTTTTGTATGTGCATTTGTTTATGTTTGATTGTTGATTAATGCGTCATTTATTTGTTTGAGCGAGATAATTCTATTATAATAGTGGATTTTAGTCACTAATTTATATTTTCTTTTGTTGAAAGTTGATGATGCATTTGATCCCAAATGTTTTTTTGATTTAGAAATGAACACCACAATATATATGTATTGTGTTGATATTTTTAAGCCTTATTTCTTTTTGTGTAAGGTTTTGCTTCTTAAATTGGGCGCAAGATCGCTTGTTCTGATTATTGCTGTTTTTTTGTTGATTATTATGCAGATTGATTTGAGTACGCACATCGTTAAGGTCTTTTTGACTCTGAAGGTATTTCCTTGAATTATTGCTATAATTAAACTTTTTTGGATATAAATGCCATTTGAGGTTAAGTTTCTTGTTTAGTTTTCTTCATGGTGCTTCAAATGTACTTCGCAGTCGGTATTTTTCTTCCTTGAGTAGTTTCAGTCCTGAATCATTTTTTCAGGTTTTGTTTGGATTGTTGAAGTTTCGGTTTGAGTGTTATGCACCAAATTCTACAAAATTCAATTTCAAATTTTGATGCATTTATAAAATTGAATTTAGCCATAATTAGTTGCTAAATCTCGAAGCTGTTGTCAGGGTGAGGTTTGAATGGTTAAATTTCTCGATATCTATATATTTCATATTTTCATCCTACTAATTGCATATGGATTAACATGTATGTTGAATTGATGAGTTTCTTTCAGGTTGAGAATATTGGGACAAACGCTGTTTCAGAAATCCTTCTTGCTTTCCCACCTACTCAAGCTGATCATCTGGCGTTTGTTGAAGCGTTAGCAACTACTGGAAAACGAAAGAAGAAAACTTATGTGCCTCTTGTTGTAAAACCAACAGAGCTACCCGATGCACCAAATGAAACTAAATATTTCAGTATTTCATTGGTTAATCCATTGAATTCAGGTGACACTACAACACTGGAAGTGCTCTATGTATTTACTCACTCTCTAGAGCCTTTCCCAATGGAGATAAGCCAATCAGAATCTCAGTTGGTATATTACCGTGATAGTGCACTAATACTGTCACCCTATCATATTAAGCAGCAGACAACTTTTATTAAAACACCAACTACTAAGGTGGAATCATTTACTAGGCTGGATCCTACTAACCGAGCTGGTACTGAAATGAAGTACGGACCCTATGAGGATCAGCCTCCATATTCATATTCTCCAATTATTGTTCATTGTGAGAATAACAACCCCTTTGCTGTTGTGGAGGAGCTTGTACGAGAAGTGGAAATATCTCACTGGGGCAGCATTCAGATCACAGAGCATTACAAGTTGGTTCATGCCGGTGCTCGACATAAGGGCATTTTTTCAAGGTACAGTACTACAATTGGCTGGAGCTTTTTGGTCATACGTGATGCTTTCTATTATTATTCTTCTCTCTTTTTCGCACTTTGAGCTTTACTTCAGGACATATTATAGTTATTGAGAATGTCTAAGCGCTTCGTATATTCATATATAGAGAAATATATATATGAATAAAATATACAGCTTCACATGTATCTTCCTAACCCTTTGTTAATAAATGTCTGTTGTATTTTGTATCCTTAATGAGAGCTTGAAGTGACTAGAAGTTTATAAGGTGTCCATACTTTCTCAAACTTATCTCGAACTTGGATTTGGGTAGTTTCGTGATGAATCTGCCAAAATTTTAAACATTAAGGACTCTGAATCTGTGCTCCAAATTAAAAATGGGGTTTAACAGATTGGAACTTTCAGATGTATGTTTGTCAGATGATTAAGCAATATAATATTTTATTAATATTAATACTCATATTTGTGAAGTTATTTTTGGCAGGGTTGAATATCAATCTAAGCCGTCTTTTAGTGGTGTATCCTCCTTTAAACACCTCTTGGCAAGACTACCCCCAAGAGTTCACTCTGTTTACTACCGAGATGAAATAGGAAACATCTCATCATCACATTTGCGCACGGATTCTCAAAAGGTACTAAATTGTGTTTACATATGCTGGAACTTCAGAATTTGTGCATGAATTTCGTTACGTTTCCTGAATGCAGTTTCAATATAGTAGAACTGTTACATTTTAATTGAAGGCTAAAGTCACTCAAGTATGGTAGTTTTGAATTTCTCTCAATCTATGTTGGGGAAAACTACTTCTTGTTTTCATCCCTATATATTTTGATCAGTGCATGCATTTTGCAGTCAGATCTTGAGATAGAACCCCGTTATCCTTTGTTTGGAGGTTGGAAAGCCACTTTTATCATTGGCTATGGGGTTCCATTGCAAGACTTCCTTTTTGAGTCACCTGACGGTAGGCGTTACCTCAACTTTACTTTCGGCTGCCCTCTTGCTGAGTCAGTGGTTGACAAGTTGACCATCAAAGTAAGTTTATTGCTATGAGGTTGCTTTCCTATTCGATTGTTCTACATTGTTGCTTCCGTCCTTCTTATTCACAAATGCTGGAATGTAAATTTACTAATACAGGAACTATGTTGTTTCAGGTTGTGCTGCCCGAGGGATCAAAAGATCCTTCTGCTGTTGTTACTTTTCCAGTGGAGCAACATCTGGAGGTAATTATTCCTAATACCAAGTTTGTGCACATACACGGACTCATGTGCACAAAAGCCGATCTTTTGATTGTTGACCCTAGTAATTCATTGCAGGATTCATTGTTCTTTTTGCTCTGTTGTTTAGTCAAAGTATTGTATTCTATGGCTCAGAGATGTCTTCATGTCTTTTTTTTTGCAGACCAAGTATTCTTACCTTGATGTCGTAGGGAGGACCGTGGTGGTTCTGGAAAAGAAAAATGTTGTTCCCATGCACAACACTGTTTTCCAGGTGATTTCTCAATTCTTTGTGTTAAGCATGCTCCTTCCCAAATATTCATTACACTGTTGCTATCTCGATCTTTCTTTATATAGGACATATTGGTGTATTAAATTTATGCACCTTTTAAAGAATGACTTAAAATTTATCTTGACTTCTTTATAGGGACTGGATTTGGGCAATGGAAAATTGACATGGTTTAACCTTTATTTGTGGTGTTTGTATTAATGGATCCGAACTAGAATTGTTAGAGGCTACATGTCGCTTTTGATGTTCCAATTTCTTGGATGGTGCATGATATTTCTGGATGCTTGGCTGCTTATGTGTCATGCTATTTATGCTTTTACCATGATGGGCATTCCCTAATTGCATCCTGCCAGTTATTTTATGATGAGGCCCCTAATATGCTGGTTTATGGTAGGAGACATAAGGGTGCGAAGTAGAGGATTTTGGGTAGCTAGCAAGAAGGTTCTTTGTGCGTGAGGTTTGTTTAGGAGGGACAGATGGCATTAGGGGAATGGGTGATTGAGATGTCAGTAGAATAAAAGGAGAGGCAGGGAGATTTGAGAGGATATTCAAAAAAGAGAAAAGTGGAGAGTGGGAGGTTGCTGGCCCTCGAAGTCCAGCACTATTTGGGAGGAGTTGGCCCTCGAAGACCAACATTATTTCTGATTTCTTTTGTTTAAATTTTTCTATTCCTTTTGAATGTGCTATTGGTAGTGATTGCTAAGTTTAATTCTTCTGTGTACTTGGTTTGCGAGATTATAAATAGACTTGACTATTATTTTCTGGGTTTGGCTACTGTTTGTTGATATTTTTTTGGGTTGACTCGAGTGTTGTTGCTGTTATTGTTGTGGTTTGATTGAGTTTTGGAAGGTATCCATCATTTTATATTCCAGGAAAACTATTGACTGGGTACTTTTTTCTCATATTTCTTGTGGCAGGTGTATTACACGTTCAACCCAATCTTCATGCTTGCAGAACCACTAATGCTGACTTCTGTATTTTTCCTGTTTTTCGTGGCCTGTGTAGCTTACCTACACATTGATCTTTCTATACGCAAATGATTTTAAATCGTGGTATATCTGAAGGTATTCTTGTGCAACTATGCAGTTGTGCATTACACATGACATCTTTACTCTGTAGCTTGGAATAGTTAGTTGCTTCAATGTTGTTAACCCAAAGGGACTGAGCTTATCAGGAGCTAGAATTTGCCGGATCATTTGTGTGCTAAAAGGGTTTTGAAACTGTTGTTTATGAAATTAGTCTGCAATAGAATTTTGTGTTAGCAATCGGCACTTGAGGCCGTTTGCATTTTTTGGATTATACTTTTGGCTCAAGATAAGAAATATGTAAGGTTCTGGTTTGACAGTGAAATAACATGTTATAGGATCTGGTATGACATAGAACTATATGAGAAAATGTTAGAAATGTTTAGAGAACAATTTTTTTAATCTTAAAATATTTGGGCCTTGAGATGAGATTGTTAGTAGTATCCCAAAAACTTTCCTTCCATTTGCTGGCTGGCAGAGTTCATTCCCAAATAACATCCTAAATAATGTTTTGTCTTATGTGGCTCTGAACTATCATCTACAACCTCAATTTTCATTTATACATTAAAGTAAAATAATATAAGACAATATATCACTTGGGTGAGAAAATTTGGGAAGCAAGATATCATTCTAAAACTAAAACAAAAAATAACCGTGTAGAAGTGAATCAATAACTCTTACTCCAGGGTTGGTCTGTGTGTTAAGAATGTTTGTTTTTTTCATAACTTTTTAGATTCAAACCACTTTAGGATCACTTATAATATTTATGGTTTATTTGAAACATTGGTTTATATATATTTAATGGGTTTTGAGGATTAGTTAGAGTGTGTAAATTAGTTCGAATACTTTAATTATCCCGGAAAAAAAAAAAAAATCAGAAACTCTTATAAGAAGGGAACACTCTAGATGTGTGAATTTGTTGACTGTTATGCCAAGTTAAATGATAAATGAACGTACACAGGTGTCATATCTTGAAGGTATCAATTGAATCTTTCATTTAAGGCTTAAGCAGACCGCCCTTAGGGTTCTTTATCTGATCCATGGCTGCACTGGTGAAACTGTCAGCGTGTCAGCTTCATTTCTCACACATTAATATTCCTAACCAAGAACCACCCCTATTTAATGTTCCCATAAACTCAAAGATGACACACAAACCTACTTTGGGCCAGCCATGTCCATTATTTCACTTGACTTTAAGCTCCCAATATTGACTTCTTTCTTTTAGTATAATGACAGCAATTTTGTTTGTTTTCAGATACACACAATTCATAAAAAAATTCACCCTTATTCTATATATTTATAGTAGGCTAATATTTTTAAAATTTATTAATATTTGAAGCATTTTCACTCTTTAAATGATAAAACAAATTTATTATTATTATTATTAGAAAAACGATAATCTCAACTCATTGGGTCAAAAATATTATAAAAAAAAAGTGCAATAATTGTTAGAAATGATGGGAAAGAGTGTGATTTAAGAAGAAAGTAAATTAAAATTAAAAACCAAGTTGTTGCAGCGTTGCAGGCCATCACTGCAGCCTTAAATCTTAATTATCTTTAATTGCTAATTATAATCTAATCACCCTTGTCCCTTTTGTTTCAAACTAATTGAAAACATAATATTATAAAATCCCAATATAATTAAGGATTCTCTTAACCACATAAAGATATTAAAAACCCAAAAAAAAAAAATTTAATTTCAATGCATATCATCAGTGAAAAAAAGAACATATTTTCATCAAAATCAGTTTTTTTTGTTTTTTTAGTATCCTTACATGTACTGCAAGACAACCCTAAAATTAATATATCAATAGATTAAGTATTAAATAAGTAATATGCCGCGGCATGGTAACCCATGTTATGAATATCATTATTGTCTAAATATGAATATCATTATAATGTCAAAATTAAATTATTAATTAATTATTAAAAAAAAAAAAAAAAAAAAGCAAGCAACTATACTCATTTGCTTCTATTCAAGTCGAGACAAACAACATAGATAACCCAACTAACTAGTTAATAATAAAATGGTGCCTTATGGGGCATAGGGGATTTACCCATTGTTAACTCCAGGCTTTAAGAGTTAGTTGAGTTGTACGACAGTCGCTCGAACACCCTAATAATAAAAAAATAATAATAATAAATAAAATAAAATGGTCTTATGGGTCTTCTTATAAGGAATAATAACTGGTACTTGTTTTAAAAAAGACATATTAATTAATTAGAATTAGGGATCTAGAATATATGTAAAGTAATTAACAAGGCATAACATTCTTTTACTCTAAAGTATGTACCATGTCATTTGTCAATTGATTGATCAATTTGACAAGATTTTGGTACAACGACAAGTCATTTTGGTACTCCATTTAGAAATATAGATTGAGAAGATTTTGGGTGGACTTGATTTAGTAAACCATTTTGATTTATTAATTAAACATTACCCACCACCCATGTTTACTACCTTTTATAAGTCAATTATACCCTTTTATTTTCTTAGTATTATGCTATCAATGCCAAAATAAAAATCATTATATTAACTTTAATTAATCATGCTGTTGATACAAAATTTGCACCAACTAGAGCGATCTGATTGACCTTGGTAGAATCGGAACGGATGCGTGCGTAATTACGGGTAACTAGCAATATAATGAATCGAAAACAATAAAGTAAAGAACACAGAGAGTTTTTAAAGTAGTTCGGCGAGTTATACTCTTGTGTCTACGTCTATTATTCTTTGTATTTGATGTGAGAGCTTACAATAATAATCATATAACAATTTACTAACCCTTTTCTCATTGTTGGAGGGGGTTTATATTCAGATTTTGTACAAAAGAAAAAACGAAAATAAAAGGATTACAATTAAAATTGAAATGTAACTCTGATATTCTTGCAATTGAGTATTGAGATTGCGCCAAGATTGCTATCGATCTAATCCCTTTCGAGATATCTGGGATCTGAAGTTATCTGTGAGCTAATTAAACAACTGTAGGGATTGGTTGCGACTAACCTCGACGAGCTTATGCTGAGTCGGACAATCGATTAAGTCGAATTAACTCTAGATTGAGCTATAACCTCACAATTCTCAAAGTTTGACAAAAAATCACACACAACACATACAATTGTTAAATGATTTATCTAAATCAAATAATTTGTTTTGCTTTTAACAAATTAATTAATTACTTGTTTATTTGACAAAAATATAATTAATGGCATTAATAATTAGTTAAAATTAGTTATCTAATCTGTCAATTCTATATGTAAATTGGTCATAATCATCATCATGAATTGGAAATATTAATAATAATGAGTGTACCAAATAATGGGTGCAATTTTATGGTTATAATGATGTGTAATTAGAACTAGACAGATCATCAAAATCATTATAGAAAAATATATATATAATTACTCCAAAATTAGATATTTAAAAAATTGAGGAAAAATAAAACACAATAAAAATGAACTTAAATTTAATGAGAAAAAGGGCATGAAAATTAATTTTTGACATATAAATTCCTTCGAATTTAAAAAACTCTGAATAATAATGATAATAATCCAACTGTAAAATTTTTCATTTATTAAAAATAGAAAAAAAAAAAAAAAGTTAAAAGAAGGAGGGCATTTTGGTAATTTAAAGATTGAAAAACAGTGTCGTGAATTTCAGTCATAAAAGGCAACAAAATCGGTTGTTTTGGAAACAAGAAAAACAGAAACAAAGAAAGCAGAACCTAGAAAATCCAAAAAGATTTTCCAAAAACTTGGTTCTCTGTTTCCCTTAGGTGGGAACGGAGGTTCTTTTGTATCTGAAATCTTTCTTTCTCTCTTTATTTGCATTAAATATAACATAAAGTTTTGTTGTATTTTGTGTTAATTTGCATAAATAGCCTTCTTGGTGATTTCTTTACGTGAAAGCTTCCAAGAAGAGAATAAAAGATTCAAGAGACAGAAGAAAGACTACTGTGTTATGGATCCTTGTTGATGAAAAATTTATAACAAGAACCAATAAAGTTTGGTTTTTGTATTCATATATTTTTGATCAGATAGATGGATGCCACGGGAGGAACTGATAATAAAATGGAAGGATGGTTGTATTGCATTCTTGTTAATCGCTTTGGCCTGCAAATCTCACGTAAAAGATACTTCATTCTTCAAGATAATTGCCTCAAATGTTACAAAACAACACCCCTTTCAAACAAAGAGGTATTTTTTCTTTCTAAATTTTTTAATGTGTTTTATATTGCATGCATTGATTTGTGTTGTTGGTTGTTTCAATTTTTGGCCTTAATGAAAGAACCCTTTTGGCAGTTTTCTGAATTTTTTTTTCCTCTTTCATATGTAATTGTAATGTGTTGCTGAATTCGAGGCTTGTTTGTTTGAATTTTGATCTTTGTAGAGATAATGACGTTCTACAATATCTCTTCCCTTCTCTTTTTGTTTTTGTAGTTAATTTGGTTTTGTTTTGTTTTGGCGAAAATTGGTGAGCTGACATATGCATATGAAGATATATATATATATAGGCCAATTTATGATGTGTTTCGTTTTTGTTTGGATTTGCGTTTTATATTACTTTTGACTTTTCTGAACTTTTTCATGGTCAAAAGTGTAGAACTGATGTAAGGAAAACAGGAAAAAGTGAGGAATTACAGGAATTTGAGCTCTCTATATTCAATCTAGAGAGAAGTATTTTCCTTTTTTTGTGTCATAATTATAAGAATGTGGTTGAAGGTGATCTTTATTCATTTTTTTACATCTGGGTTGTGCTAAACTGGTTTAATAACATAAATACAGAGAGCAACTTGTGATTTCTTAATTCTAAAATTGTAAGATAAGTCCTACGCTTTCGGTGATGAAATCGAAGCGGGTTGTCCGAGATGGTTAATTTAAGAAAAAATTTATCTTCAAATTTGATGTTGTTGTGGAAAAACTAGTTGGTTTTTTAGATCATTTAGGATATTATGTTTACCACCATCAAATGATGAAGCATGTTTAACATGTCCATCATAAACTTGGAAATAATAAATAAAAGACCAACTTGAAGCTGCTGTCAATGAACAGCTCAATTCATAATTATGAACTTTTTGACAATACCTTTCAATGGCAAACAAGTAGAGCTCGAGTTAATTTGTAATGGAATGGCATACCTAATTTTGCACTGAAGTTTGGACTATTGAATATTGATGATATTGAATAATGATAATCTCTTAAATGGAATAACTGAAATGTTTCATCTGCCAGGAACCAGTTAGAAGTGCAAAGATAGACTCTGGCATTAAGGTTACCGACAATGGAAGAGAGAACATTCATAGAAAAGTATGCTACTTAAATGCACATTTATTTATAAGCACTGATTTGTCGATTTTTATATGGCCCTGTGAAAGATATGTTTCTTCTTTTTCTAATTTTATCTCTGTAAAATTGTTTATAATTTACAGGTGTTGTTCATTTTTACCATTTATAGTACTTCAAATCACAATGAACAGCTTAAGGTGTGGTGAATTAAGACTAAATATATGCATACATATATATGAATGATATTGTATATATTGGTTCATAAGCTTTGAAATTACTTTTGTTTTAGTTGGGAGCAAATAGTTCAGAAGAGGCAGCAAAATGGATTCGCTCAGTAAAGGATGCTGCAATAAAGGTTCCAAAAACTTGTAACCCGCCACTATGTTTATGTGTAATTTGTGCAAAACTTCACCTTTAAGTGTACTTTCAGGAGTGTCCGTGGCCATCACGGGATCTTGTTGCTGTTTCTAAAAAGAGATGGCCATCGTTAAGGTATAGCAGTTGTCCGGCAGCATCTTGATTTCTGATTACGGATTTGGTCATCTTATTTTGTGTTTGAATATGTTCTGAGGAAGAATCAAACCATTCTTCTCGTGATTGTATAATATATATTTTCTTTGTATTCGCTTTCACTATGTTGTATGCGTTATATGTTCTGGAAATCAATTGGACTTGTTTAGCCTCTTTCTTATGAAATTTAGTACTGTAGGCTGCATGGTTTCAGAAGCAGCGAAAGTAAAACATCTATAGACTGGACGGTTAGCTCGTCCGTTCACACAGAGGCAATGACATCTGATGTAATTGCACCTTCCCCATGGAAAATTTTTGGCTGTCAAAATGGTAAGAATTTTAAGTTCCTCTCCAGCTTTCCCAGTGGACAAGTGCATATATATTGATAATTGGGTTACATATGAAGGTCTGCGGCTTTTCAAAGAAGCAAAAGATTCTGATTCTCGTGGGAAGGTAGGTTGCTCTCCTAGCCCTAATCATTGATAGTATACTTTGGGATTTTCTTTCAAGAAAATAATAAATATTTCTTTGATCAGCATTGGGATGATCATCCAGCAATAATGGCAGTTGGTGTGGTTGATGGAACTTCAGAGGCCATTTTTCGAACGCTTATGTCACTTGGTTCCTCAAGAACGGAGTAAGATTGTTAGATTGTTCATTAATCATCTTAAATTGAAGTTATGGTACAATGAAAAGCTTGGCCACGCCCAAAACTCATTATATTCCAGAGGTTAATGTATGAGTATCTTGCAGATGGGACTTCTGTTTGTATCGTGGTAGCGTCGTTGAACACATTGATGGTCATACAGATATTGTTCACAAACAGTTATACAGTGGATGGCTACCTTGGTAAGGCTCATAACTTTAAATAGAATACGTTAATAATATGCTTTTATTAACACATTCTTATGCAGGGGAATGAAACGAAGAGATTTACTGGTGCGTCGATATTGGAGAAGAGAGGAAGATGGCACATATGGTACTAATGATCTGCCGCGATTTCAATATACCATGAAGTTTTCCAATTTATTATTTGCATACTCTGACATTCTTTGTTTGTTTATGTTACAGTAATTCTTTACCATTCTGTGCGTCACAAGAAATGTCCGCAGCAGAAAGGATATGTTCGTGCTTGCTTTAAAAGTAACGTATGCTATGAGTTCGGAAATTTGATGTGTTCACTTCTTAGTTCTGCTAGAACAAAAATGTCTCTCGATTATATGTGTTCATATTCAGTGTAGAAGTTGTTCATTTATTTGTTCAAGTTAAATACGTTTTTCATTTTATATCCTGTCCATGCAGGTGGAGGATTTGTAATAACTCCTGTTAACAAAGGCAAAAAATCGCTTGTAAAACACATGCTTGCTGTTGATTGGAAATACTGGAAATTGTATCTGAGTCCATCGTCTGCAAGATCCATAACCATTCGTATGCTCGAGAGAGTTGCAGGTACCCTTCTAACAAAGTTACATGTTCTATTCATTTAAACTTCTGTAATTTGGAATACAGATAACCATCTTTGATTTGCATTCTGCAGCATTGCGGGAGCTATTCAGAGCCAAAGAAGGAGACAGTCCCTGTGAATATTCATATAAAGAGTCGGCAAGAGATATTGAATTCCTTCAAGATACTGAAGCAGCATTGAAAAGTGAAGAGGAAAAGTCAGAGAAAGATGTTACAACCATAGATGAATTAGAGAAACCGTCTCCTCCTCGTGCAAGTTTGATGAGCATGAATGATAACTCGGATGAGTTTTTTGATGTTCCTGAGGCAAGTGAAGCACCGTATCCATTGGAAAGTGATTGGTCTTTAGAATTTAGTCCTGAACTTCGCTCACGGGTACTAAAACTCTTTGCCAAGATTATCTTTCCTCAGCTTTTCTTAGGAACATTAGTTGCCACTTTTTTGTAGCTAGAGTTGTCAACTGGCAATGCTTCCTAACAATGTTTTTGGAAATGATATGAGCAGAATACGCCCCAACATAGATTAACGGCTGCAAATTTTGTGAAAAAGTTGCATGATCTTGCTGGTGAGTCCTGTTATTGTATCTTTAAGTCCGATGTTATGCATAAAACTCTTCTATTGCGTTTACTGAGAAATGCCCCGGAACTTTCTTATATGGCAGTTCAGAAAAAGGGTTACACAGACTTGCAAGAGGTGCCTAAGGATGATCTGGTGTCGTGGTCTTATGGAAACACTCTTCAAAAAGACAATAGTTGTACTTTGCCTTGCAGTTGGTCCGTAGCTGATCCTTCTGCATTTTTGCTACGTGGGGAAAATTATTTAAAAGATCATCGAAAGGTATTCTTTAGTTCTTGATATCAGTAATACATTTCTTAAACGTACTTAACAAATGTTATTCATTCTTGTTGCATTGTCCTTAGATCAAAGCAACAGGCACCTTGATGCAAATGATGGGTGCAGATTGGATGAGATCGAACCAACGAGAAATTGATCTTGGTAGTCGTCCTGGTGGTCTCGTTCAGGTTTGCTCTAGGATATTGTATTGTTAATAATCATCTCTGTAAACTTTATTGAAACACAGCTTGTAAACGCACTCAAACGTTTAATTTGATTCATTCAGAGATATGCAGAGCGAGGCGGACCAGAATTTTTCTTCATTGTTAATTTTCAGGTTCCGGGCACAACCATGCATACAATTGCACTATATTATGTGATGAAAACGCCTATCGAGGACAATCCCTTGCTGCACAGCTTTGTAAATGGAGATGATGCCTTCAGAAATTCAAGACTTAAGCTCATACCATACATATCTAAGGTCAAATATTTACTTCATTTCAGAACCCCCCAAATAATTAGAAAAAAAAAAAAAAAAATTATTCCAATGTGACATGTTGCCGGTGTTTTGGTCTCTCAGGGATCATGGATAGTGAAGCAGAGTGTAGGAAAATCAGCATGCCTTCTCGGTCAACAACTCGAAGTAAATTATTCTCGCGGAAAGAATTACTTGGAGGTAGATTACAGACCTTATTAATAAAGTTTGTGGTAGATTTTTTTAGGCGTTTGACAATTGAAAGTGCTGCAAATTTCCAGGCTATTGTAGACGTTGGATCATCGACAGTGGCAAGGGGGGTGGCCAGTCTTGTTCTTGGATATCTGAACAATTTAGTGGTAGAAATGGCCTTTTTGATACAGGTAAAAATCATTGAATTTGTTATCTATATAAACCAAAACAGTTTAGTCCTTAAAATCTAACGACATTTGCAGGGTAACACTGAGGAGGAGCTCCCAGAATTCCTGCTAGGAACATGTAGACTAAATCATCTTGATGTAACGAAATCCGTCGTAGCAAACCCTTGATTTTAACAGCCAGATAAAAATCAATTTTTCTTTTTTTTTTTTTTATTTGCTAGATTGAAGTCCAATGCAGAATGAAATTGGAAATATATATACATAGGTGCTTGCTGCATAAGTTTGTGTTTTGCTCCCAGCTAATGTAAGAGACATTGGCAGGATAACTATAATGTGGTCATAAATCTTTTATGAGAGAAATATAATTGTATATATTTTTCTTTCATTATTGCTCATCCTTCTAATTATGAAGCCAAAAATTTTATTGTATCGCATATATCTCAAGGTTCCTATAAAAATAAAATTAAAAATAAATGTTATTCTTTGCAGAGAGAATTTGTAACGTAGATCAATTTTTATACTAAACACAGATGCAAATTGTTGTGCAGTAAATTCATGAAGCACGGAGTCACGTCACATGTCATCTTTTTAGGTTAATTTTATTGACAAATTTGTCATTGTAAATTTGTATATATACTTACTTTTCACTCAGATTAAGAATTAGATTCTTAATTAATACTTTGTAAGTCGTACTTGTACACAGAGAAAACACATAAAGCAATACAATAACATTAGACGCAGGATTTGTATTCAGCATCCGAACCAAACCATTTTAAAAATCGTTTTCTTGTGTCATTGTTCAATTTCTCATTCATTCATTGATTCAATATCGAGATCACAAGTTTCATACAAACTCCTATATATTTCATCACGGATCCTATGTATTTCTCTTTGGTACAAATCACAGCATCAAAACAAATTATCATGAATATAAAAAGCAAAATTTGTGATATTTAATCAAACATGATTAGATATAAGATGTTTAATTATTTTCCTAATAATTAAGTTTAAATTTTAACTGAAAAATATTATCTCTTAATACCTAAAATTATGGGTATTAAGATGAATTTAAACTTCTAAGTTAATTTCATCTCATATTTCCCCTTTATTTTCAGATTAATTTCGTTATTATTTTACATAAAATGAAACAAAAATAACTCAAATGGTAGAGCAAAAGTAAGGAGTTTTTAGTAGCGGTTTTAAAAACACTCAACCTATGCTTGGAAGTTTATTTTTCAGTGGTTCTGACCGTTTTTTAAAATTTACATATATGTCTATCAAAATACCCCAATTTCAACCAGTATTTGAGAGTTTTGTTTTTTCAATTACAAGGTAAGAGTTTTTTATTTATTTTCTACTTATTACTATTTTGTAACTTCAAATATAATAAAGTCTCCTTATCCTTCCTCGCCATTCTTTGCAGCATCTAGAATGATTGAAAAATTGTAGCTCACTTCTCCAAGAAAGCATTAAGAAATGAGATTTTAATAAATTTTTTTTTTTATGATTGCTTAAATTTATTTTATATTTAATATGGTTGGAGACACGCATAATATGGTTAAATTGTCTTTTTTTTTTTTTTTTTGGATATAATTGAGATGGTTTTTTAGTTAATAAGGTATTTGTGGAATAAAATTTTAAAACCAATCAAAACACCCCGATTTAGGGTATTTTATAAACCCCTCAAAAATACACTACACTGGTTCTTGTGGTTTTTGAGTTAGTCAAAACCGGTGCATAAAAAATCTGGCAAATAATGGTTTTAGAATACCTCAAAACCAGTCTAACTAAAAACTCCTCCAAACCAATGGAAAAAAAACTCCCAAGAAGACCCTACATGAATGTCTAGACATATAACCATGGGTTTCAGAACAAGGCTTCAGCCTAATTACTCGGCCACCCCACTTTTATACACAATACAAGCATAAGTTTATGAACCTTTTTTAAGTTACAAAACAGTAAAAACCCTAATTTAAGGGTCAAAATTCTAAAGAGTTTTTTATCCACTTTGTCACATTTCACAAAATTTTTATTGTGTATAAATGCATATGATTTCATCTCTTAAGGGGTGTTTGGATCATATAATGTTTTATTATAGAAGTATATTATATTAACAAAAAAAAAGATCATCTTGAAGATTACTGGGAATATTCAGAAAATGTGTTTGGTTGATTCGAATAAATTAGTGAATATGTTTGGTTGGGAGGACAAATGGATGGGTATGTTATCTAGATTACTAAATTGCCCTCATTTTTAAATATTAATATAATAATTTTTTTTTTTTTTTGAAATTTTGCTAAAACTCCCAAGCCATATAAAACTTTAATTTATAGCAAAATCACCCCTATCCACCCCAAGCCACTACGGACAGCCAGCCACCCCCACCAGTTGCCGCCGGCAATTGACGGAATGGCGCACGACTGACTGTATATGTTGGTCATGCATCGGCAAAGCCGAAAATGGCCATGGATCACAAATCTATGACTGGAAAATGGCCATAGATCTGGCTGTGAAAATGTCAAATCTTTAGCCATAAAATGACATGGCCACATAAACACTAGATCTGGTCGTTTCCGGCCATGAATCTGGAAAAGGCCTTACCGGCGCACGACTAGTCAGATCCCACCGATCATGCACCATTACAGCAACTAACACCAGCAGCCAGCAGTGGTGAGTCACCACCGGTGGTGGTCTTGGGTAGCTATGGGTATTTTGTTAACTTTTAAATTTTTTTGTGGTTGGGGTATTTTAGCTAATTTCTCAAATGTGGGTTGGTTAATTGTTATTTGGTAGACATTTGAGGGCAATTGTGTCCGAAATGGATTTTAATTAAAGGCAAAATGGGAAAAAAATCATATTACTCTAGTAATATTTTAATAACACTCCCTAACAATGTAATAAGATTACCCTTCACATTACCAACAGTAACCACTATTTCAATAAAAGATTACCGTAATATTTTATTGCTTGCAAACCAAACACAAAAATCTTACAAAATAAACGAATATTATCCCAGTTATGTTATTTACCCCTAATCTAAACGACCTCTTAAATTTAATTTCTCATAGTGTCTCATGTATTCATTTGTTAAATATTTAGCTTCCAAAATATGAATTTTTTTAAATCATGTTTCAAAATTCCTTGATGTTTATGAAATAACAAATATCCACTCTCGGTAGTAAACTATTAGAATATACACAGTTATGAGTTAATGAATATTTACAAAATTGTCCTCCTACCGTTTATTATAATACCTATAATTAAATTGGTAGGCGGATTTCTATTATTTCATAAACTTCAAGGGAAATTTAATCAATAACTTATACGGGGCGTTTGGATCATATAATATTTTTTTATCTTAGTAATAAGATTACCGGAAAAAAAGATTACATTGTAGATTACCAGGTTTAAATTATTATTGTATTTGGTTCAATTGGGATGTATTAATAATTAATGTATTTGGTTGATAGTAATAACAGATGTCTTGAAATACCTTTTACTAAAATGCCCTTTAGATGATTACTAGATATAAATAATTAAGGGTTTGTTTGTTTTATTATTTGAAACCTTATTCTTTATCATATTCCCAGAATAATTATTTGTTTAATTATTACTTTTTTGTTTAATTATTTTGGGAAATACTATTCTATTTTTTAATTATTTTTAAACCCCTTAAGTTTATTAACTTAATTAAACACCCCTAGAAAAGAAAAGTATAAAAATTAACAAAAACAACCCCACTCATCCATAGTTGCCAGATTCTGGCAACCACCATTAATGGTGGTCGGAATCTGTCACAACGGCTTAAAAACGATCGAAAATGGTCGTTTATTCACGGATCTGGCCTTTTCCGGCTAGATCCGTGGTGGATCTGGTCGAAAGGGTCAGATCTGGCTGTCAGCGATGGCCAAAGAAATGGTCGTCGTTGATGGTTAATGACGGCCAACTCTTGGCCGTCGTTGACGGTCAACGACGGCCAACTCTTTGACCGTATCTGACGGCCAACTCTTTGACCGTATCTGACGGCCAGATCTGACATTTTCCGGCCAGATCCATGGTGGATTTGGCCGGAAAAGGCCATATCGGTGCATAAACCGCCAGATTTGACCACTCTGAGTCGTAACGGTAGATTCCGACCATATTTCGGCGGTGGTGGCCAAAATCTGGCACTGTGGTGGTGGGGGTGTTTTGTCATTGTACAAATTTGGTGTTTTGTAATTATTAACCAAGCCAATGATATTTTCGTCTGCATAATATACTATTTAGGGGCAAGATTGGACATAAATTATGATTACCCGGTAACGTTTTAATAACAGCCTCCCATGAGGTACAAATATTCCCGGCAATTTACCCCCCTTTAAGCACTGTTTGTCATCTTTTTTTCCCGTAATTTTTTTTTATAAAAATGCCAAACACAGTAATCTGCTAAATTAAACAAATATTACCCTTGTTAAACAATTTAAACCCGATCCAAACGGCCCATAAATGTATAAAATTTTATCTCTTAAATTTAATTTTTTTGTAGCCCCGTCATTTTTTAAAACATTACACACTTCTGCTCAGGGGTGAAATTGAGTCGAGTCGAGTATCTGACTACTCAAACTTGACTCCATTGTTACAGTAGCGAATTCAAGTTCGAATTTGAGCCTGGCCGAGCCTAAGAAATCAAGTTTAAACTCAAAGTCGGTACTTGAAATTTGAATTCGAACTCTTATAATCGAGTTTTAATTGAGCTTTTCGAATTGAGTTGTACCGTGATCAAACTCGAGTCAAATCAGTATTCGAGCTTGAGCTCAACTCAACTATTGTCGAGCCGAGCTCGAGTTGCTCGCAAGTGGCGTGGCTCGATTTTCACCCCTACTTAGCTTCCCAAATAAAGATTCATTTTTTGTGCTTGGACCTTCTTGGATTATACTTTTGGGCCCATCAAATGATGACTCCTTGGGTGGAAAAATCAGACACATGGAAGTGCTTCCAAATAGCCAAACAACAAATAAAGCCATAAATTTGAAGGGATTCAGAAGCGCTTCTCAAGTTAATTTCATTTGACAGATACATTGCTCCAACCCTCATAAATTTTCCGCCAATTGCCATAAAGAAGCGTGGGATGCCCCTCCCGTTCCCAATCATGTCCTTTATGAGGAAACACTCCCACTATACCCTCCCAAAACAAAATCCAAATTCATACATGCCATGGGCAAGATCGTCATTCCACTTATCTGTCATCAC